TTTTGGGGTACTGATAACAATATAATAAAGTTACTTTTATAATGTTATTTATAAAATTTTCTTTAATAGAAATTGAATGTGAAAAGTTACAATAAAATATGAATAAACCACCTGGTGTGATATACTTGTTATGTTTTCAGGTTAGTACTAAGATAACTTCACAAGCATTTATTTACTCATTTATTCCCACAAAAAGACACATGCTAAATGTTACTGAATATGTGAGCAGCTGATAGTTTTCCCTTTATAAGATTATGATACCTTTATTTGACTTTTTAAATTCCAGAATATGATCTGTAAACAAGACTATGTTGAATATAGTAAGATTTGATAATTTGTACCATACTTAGGTGTTTCATGTTTTTCTTCCCTTATAATTCTGAACATGCTGAGTGCTATATACAAAAAATAGCCAAGAGTCTGTTAAATAATAGTATACTTAAAGTGTGTCCATTTTCTCTAATGTATGCTCATGTATCTACTCTCAAACACTGTGTGCCTTGTAATACATCAGTGTTTACTGTGACTGAGATGAGCAAGAATGTGAATGAAGTGATAAGGTTTTCATCTATCTGTCTGTCTGTCTGTCTGTCTCTCTCTCATTTTGTCCACATTCTTTTAGGGGATAACTTTGACTTTAAAATAGAGGAGTGGTCAGAAATTGAGGATTTTGTGAACATCTGGGTTTTTAAATCACTGCTTGCCTTCAGTAATTTTCATTAATTGCTGAAATGTTTCTCTCTATTAAAGAACATTAAATTATCTATAGTTTTGTAATCATTAAGGAAATTAGGTGGATGTTGGAGCACTTGTCATTTCCCCCTTTTTCAGTTTCTTCTCGTGGAGAGAGACTTGTGTGTATATTTTTTGTGAAGGACAAAGACAGTGTAGAGAGTCATAGTGTGTTATTAGAAAGAGTTCTTCCTTTTACAGCTGAGGAAACAAGGATGGAGAGGTCATGTATTTCATGAGTAAAAAATAGTGATGCTCGGCATTTCTTTTTGAAGATTAAAAACCTTTGGTTTAGGATCAGAAGAAGTAGATACTTAATGTTTTAAGTCTCTCTGCAAGATATCCTACAGTATCATCTTTTTCACCTTACCTGCTAACATTCAGGTAAACAGTGATGAAATTAAAGGCGAATTCTATGGAAGATAGTGACTAAACTTTTCTAAAGTGTTATTTTATATATTATAGTTTTCTTTAATTTAAAACAAACACATGTCCCATGTGAACCACACTGTAGCATTCCCATTATGTTTTCAGGTGGATTTTAGATGACATTCCTAGATATTTTCTTCCTTTGAAGGGTATTTATTTTTTTTTTGTTATTATGAAGCATAGTCTTCATTTCATTACCATTTCTTTTCTGAAGAATAAGAAATTTAATACCAAGAGACCACAAATAAGCAAAATTATTTTATTTGAAATCCTTGTCATCCACACATTTTTCATAAAGCTTTTTATAAACATCTTTAACCACTGTAGCTCTTCGAAGTAGAATTAACAGTTAACAAATTACTTTATTTTAACCACAGTCTGAATAATTTAAATACGTTGAAATTAGTTGACATGTGAGTGATATTCATAAATGAAAACGTTGGCTGTCCTGTAGTAATCAATGCATAGCTACAGCTGGTTGAAGGGGACCAAATCCATTGAAGAGGCGATTTGGTTCCATTTTACCAGCTCTAGCAAAGCATTGTAGTGCTGCTAGGTGGAGATCCAAAACAGTTAAATGCTTTTCATTTATAAAGTTACAGTCACAGACCTTCTACAAGTGTTAGAAATTCTCTTATCAGTGTTTCAGTTACTGAGTGTAAAATTTTCTATTTTGAACACACTTTTCTTTTTCCAAGTTTGACAGTTTAGAAGTCTTTTCCTTTTGATACATTAATGCATTAAGGAATTATCAATGTATACCTTTGTTTTTAACATCTTAATTCTTAAATGTAGACAATAAGCCGTTTTAAAACCAATGACATTTAAAGAAACAAATAGACCTTGATGTGTTTCAGAGTAGTATTTTCTATTATCTCTAGGCAGTAAACCAAATCACTTAAGTAGTTAAGCTAATAGGTTTGGGAAGAGTACTGTTAGTCACACCTTTCTACCACCACTGCTTATTATTATTATTTTTTTTAGTATTATAGCAGAGGACTAATAGCAAATTGTTGACAAGAGGATGAAGGAATATGAGTGGACTTAAGAAAGTACCTCTGCCCTTTGGTTTATAAATAGATCACACGTGTAGTCAGTGTATTGGTTGAACTTGTGTTGAAAGGAGCTCTCATGCATGCCAGCTTTTCTTTGCTTTTTGCTTATGTAGTGTTACTAATCATAGATTAGTAATTTAACCCCTTTAAAAGTCTATTTCCTTGACTAAATTTTCTGTCATTTTGAGTATAGATTGCCTAGTTAATTCTCATTATAGGCTTATTAATGCATTGACTTGTGGTGCCTAGCTGCAATCCATGAATTTGAGTATTAAAATCTACCATGCAAGTATAATAATACTTTAAAAAATGATCAGTAAATTTTTGTTATGTGGTTTCACTATTGATTTAATATCAGGGAAGGGATGTCTTCTGAAATATATATTTGCATAAAGTAAAAGTTTGATAAATTATAGTTTGCTTATAAGGTATGTGCTCAGTGAAATATAGAGTTAAGAAATATTCTTTATAGTTACTGTTTTAAAGTATACTGCGAGGTCAACACTAATTCAGGCAATATGCAGACAATTCTTACATTAAGAATATTCTGTATCTGTTGGTTGGTAAGGATCATGCTGCTGGTGAAATTAATGTAACTATAATTCTTTCCATAATTTATTCTAATAGAAGTGAAACAGGTGTTAAACTGCCTGAACTTAAGTGCTGAAGATAGCAATAACACTGACTTCTATTTTTACTGGGTATATGGGAGCTGTTTAGCAGATCCAGTTGCTCAAGTGTGCTTTTGGATGGCAGTTCAGTTTCATACACTGGCCATATCGGGGCAAGGAGAGGCCATGGGAGAAAAATAGTACAGCATTTGATAATGTCAGCATCTGTTATCCCTGTCAGGGAGACAGTTGAAATGTTTGAGTTACACCAGTGTCAGCAGATGCCCAGAGTTTAACGTGTACTCAGTTAAAAATGAACAGCTGATCTAAGTGATGAATGTGACATTTTATAGTGATTGAAAATACTCTTAGATGTGTTAAGTTAAACTTGTGACCACCAGAATCAGTATATAATTTTACTTTTTTAAATGAATAGCCTATCATTTTATTTTCTAAGGATTATATATTTTTATTACAGCAAAGAGATTCTTAGTTATTGGAATGCTTAAGAAAAATTATTTTAAAAACTTCTACTTATAACCAATATAATTGTTCATTATAAAACATGAGTAGTTTTATAGAAGAACCTCTACTTTTTGAGGTATATATTTTCAGTTTTTGATATTTAGGACATGGACAGGTAAACTTACCAAATGGAACATGAAGCAGTGCCATTCTGTTTTGTGGATGATCAAAAGGGCTATGCTTAAGTGAATTAAACTTTGAAGTGAATTTTTCTTTGAAATGTAGAATTTTAAAATCATGTGCTCTTTATAATTTCCAGTAAACATGCACTAACATACATATATGCTACCATATTAAAGTCATTCTCTCATTCTTTATAATGTGATAAAATGAAAATCATCTATTAACTATCTTATTAAACAGAGAAAATTAACTATAGTTAAAATTACAGTCATTTCTATTCCATTTCTGACAAAAAATTTTAAAGTATTATACTTTCTATACATTTGTAAATATTTCAGTTGAATAATACTTTTAGTAAGAAATGATTAGAATATATGAATATTAGTATTTATTGTTTCTTTGTCATATAGTAGCTTAAAATATGTACTGCTTATAAATTGTTGCCAAGAGCTCTATTATTTATAATCTTTTATAAAAATATACAAAACAAACTGCATAAAATAAAAAGCATTTTGATATCTCTAACATGCTATAAACAGTGGATCTATCCTGTTTATAAAATTTGAATTGCAATTGCATATACCAATAAAAACTTTATAAAGTCTATCTGTATAAATTGGTTCTTGACTATAGTGTTTTCTTTTCATATACACCCTTTGGAGAAAGTAAATTCAAAGATAATATAGATAATAAATTAATTTCTTTTAAATATTTGGCAATCTATTACCAATATACCTTCTTGACTTTAGAGCTATGACCCAGAATTGTGTTACTTAAATCTTAAGTAACATGCTTCAATCTTACATTTTAATTAATTTTAAGTACTAACTTCACATTTAAAATGGAGATTGGGACCTGGTTAACTTGAGAAGGACAAGCTTCTTCCATCTTTTTTTTTAACAGTAGAATTTACTTGGAAGGTAGTCTTTTAGAAATTTCTGACTATGTCTGTAGCTGTCAGAAAAAGAAAACCTAAAACAAAACTTTTGGTTCAGAAATACCTCTAATATTAATAGATTATATTCAAGCTGTTCACATTTATTGAAGAAAGAGTAAAAAAGAAAAATAAATAACTAATAAAATAAAAATGAAAAAATATTAAAAATGATATTAATAGATTATAAATTTATCAAAATATGGAAATAGTTATAATGTGAATAAAATTAGCTTTTGTTTGCTTTTTCTTAACAAATCAGCTCTACTTATATGATTTACTTAAGATCAAATTGTGGAGACATAAAATAGATTATATGTATCCCTCATTGTTTTGAGCCAGTAATAACTATTTTCCCTTTGGTACTCAAATTTTCATCATGTAGTAAGAATACTTAATTTAAAAAGTAAGTGTAGTATGTTTTAAACTTAAATGATTTAAAAGGAGTTGCAGGATAATTTGAAATCTCCTTCTACTGTAGAACTTCTTTTTCTTCACAAAATAAAAACCTTAGGGATATTTAATTTCCCTTTATAAGTAGTAGGTACATTTTTTGGGTGTTAATATTGCCAGAGGTCATCTATTTGTTACTAGGTTAATTTACCATGTGAAGGTCATTCATGTAGAAAGAAGCAAGGGCTTCTTTCAGCTGCAGTTTAATTCTCTCTTGGAGGTTTATTGCCTACCAAAAATACATACTTCTTTACATTCCATAGCATTGTATGTTCATATGGGTACATAAAGAAGTATGTACTCTGAGTAGGTATTATAAATTATTAGCTGTAAAAACATGAAATATTTTATTTTCCCATTTGTTAGTAAAACATTCAGCTTACCAATATAGAGCAATAGTAGATCATTTGCAGAGACTATTTTAATCAGTGACTATACTTTATAACAAGTTTACCTGAAACATGGCATTAATGCCATTTATGGTTCCTTGTTCTTGGTGGACATAGATATTTGTAAACATTTGACCAATTATCTGTTGAGGTTTGTCCAGATTTGGTTCTTTTTGCAAGTGATTCAAAGAATCAGTGGAGTTTTACAGTGTATTTCAGAAACTGGTAAAATCAGCTTAGTATTTCTTCATTATCTTCAGAGCGAATTTCTTCTTTTTTATAGCTTGCTACTAGGTCCTGCAAGTAGATATAGTAATCAGTTCAAATTCTTTTTACAAACTAGATATCTTATTCAAAACTTCACTAATTAACCAAGTTAATTGACTTCTGATATTGACTCTAAAGTTGAGACAAGGAGAAAAACCAGGATGAAGGTGAGTGAAGTGAATTTTTAAAGATGATGAATTTTTTTAGTTTTTCATAAGTTCACAGATAAGAACTCATGATCATTTGAGAATTTATTTGTTGTTTCTGTGTCTTTATTAGTTCCTTACTTGAATCTTGCACTTTGCTGCTTCTGTTTAGGTTGAATACAAATTCAGATAGATGTAGAAATATTTAATTTTGGTTAAGTTTAGTTGTTTTGATTTATCTTTTTTTAGTATAAAAGATAACTACCAGAAAAGTCAACTTTTTAAAAGTAAAGTGTTCCTTACAAGAACTGAAAGGTTTTAGCCTATGAGCACCTGGGTGTTAGCTTGATCATTTAGCATGAAAACAAATTATAGTTGGTGAGTAGCCTTGAATTAGTATGGTGTTAAAAGGTTGATTTAAAAGAAAACTACAAGAAATTTTCAGATTTGGCAAAGGAAAAAAAGGAGAGAGATAGTAGAATTTCTGCAGTCTGTGACAAAAAGCTAGTGCAGCTCATAGAGAGCAAATCAGAATGTAGCAGTAGATAGAGCAGTACTACAGCAGTTTCAGCAATGCAGCATTAGAATTACACCATGCATATTCTGATTTATTTTTGTGGCCAATTAATAGTAACCATTAAAAAGTATTTAATGATCTACCAAGTTTCTTGGTTGACCAAACCTTGAAGTAGACAGTTAACTGTTCTTAAAAGGTAATGTACTTTGGGAGCAAGATGTGATTTACCAGGGATGCAAAATTCATCATTTAATCTGAAACAATAACGATTAAATCTTTAATAATGTAAATCATAGTAGTGTATTTTTACATTTTTGAGATCAAGAGTTATCTGCCATATTTGAACAGCATTCCTTTTTATACTACATAAGCTCTCAACTTGAATTGTGAAATCAGGCTATGTCTAGATAGAATTTAACAGTAAGAACATATATTGAGTCAATAATAGGTAAGCATGCAGAAAGTCATAAGCATCCTTAAAATACAGGCTGTGTGGTGCTCTGTTACCTGTAAGCTTAGTGTTATGCAGCATTTGCAGCAGGAAGGAAGGTAATGACCTAGAGAATCACATCAGCAGCAGCCATCTCATCTTGATTGTTCGCTCATTCTATTCGCTGATTCAGCACTTCTTTCTTGAGCCAGTGAAGTAAGGGGGAATGTATCAGTGAACACAGAACCTCACCTTTTAAGATAAATTTGAAAAACAAACAGAGCAAACACAAAACAAATAAGCTTACTTTTACCTCTCCCTCCCCTTTTCCTTTTAAAAAAAACCCCTATAATAAGATTGAATCTGTGTTGGCCATTTTATTTGGAATGTCACATACCAGTATTGCACAGATATGTAGGAAAAGTTAAGCAACCAAGGAAGGTTGCTACAACAGCCAAGAAAATGAACCTAGCTCATTTGCCAGATGAAATGCTTCGGAAGAGGAGAGGGGGAAAGTTGCAGAGTAAGTTAATTTTATAATCTAAAAAAGACAAAAAAACAAAACCCAAAACACTTTACTCCCCCCAAGTAACTGTAAACATTCAACCTGCTTTTCTTTGCCCATCAGAATACATTGGTTTCTTCTGACTTCTCAGGAAATACTCTGCATCTTTCTTGCTTTGAGATTTTTTTTGGTTTTTAGTTTTCAGGATTAAATGGTGAAGCTACCTGGTCATATCCAGAGGTCAAGTCTGCAAGCGAGGTCAGGACTTCCACATGGTCACTACAGAGACTAACTTATATTCTTCCCTCAGTGACCCACAGGCTAAACTGTTACAGCTTTATAGGCGGCTAAGCATTTGAAACATGCACTCCCAGGCAAACAGGCTCTCTTGTGCCTCTCTCTTCCCTGACCATATTTAGTCAACCATAGCAAAAAATAGTCTCTCAGCTGTCGATTGTCGATCCCAAAGCTGAGGAAGCCTCAATCTTGCTTTCTGCCTATTGATTGTTCATCCTGCGGTCCAAACACTGCTTTGCCATTTGTCCTGCCCCTTTTTTTTTTTTTTGTTAAGCACTGCCAAATAAAGCGCTCTCTCATGTTTCCACTTACATTTCCCAGATTTTCACTGAGCTTGCGCTGAGACTAGGAAAGCCTGATGCGCTGTCACTATACTTAGAAGCACTGCAGAGAAAAAAGGAAAGAGGAAAAAAATTACCCTGGCTAGTAGCAAGACAGTTTTTAGACAGATACGGAACAAGTAAAGTACCTCTGCTGCCAAAATACAATTTATAAGCTGATTTTTTTGTTGGTAAAAATATCTTGTGTATGGTGCCAAAGGCCTGAAGGGGTTTTGTAGGGTTATCTTTAGATTAGTTGTGGCTATACATGCTTTTTTAATTTATTGAATAGTATTTGAATAGAAAATATATAGAAATAGTGGAACCTAGGTATTGATTGTGGAGAAAGATCATTGAGGAAGAAGAGAGTAGTATGTAAATGAAACCCTGGAAATGCTACTTAAGACTTTTAATTCAGTGTCAGCTTAAATTTTTTATAGTGCTTAGGTGATAAATAGGGTCCAGTATGCTTTTGAGTAATTATGTGCTTTTATATTGAAATTATACATGTAGGAAGTATTAAAGTACATTTTATTATGAATTAAATTCTACTTTATATTCAAATGCATGGTCTTTTTTCTTCCCTTCTATATTGCCCTGGCTCTCTAATGTTCTGAGGTAACCTTTAGGTATGCTCATTGCACACTTTACCACAGACTAAAGTTGTCATTGATGTGTCTGTAATTTTGCTACAGAGTGCATGTCTCAGGAAAAACATTTTTGTTCTAAATTTTAATAGCATATTCCCAATACATTTTGATATTGAAATTTATTTTTCTAACCAAGAGGGAAAAATATTAAAACATCATATCCAGCAAACCTCTGGAGATATAATTTAAGATCTCACAAACCTAAAAATGCCCAAGAGAAACCAACTATACCTTGTTCTTAATTCAACTATATCCTCTTAAGTATTGATTCAAGAAAAACCATTTGTAAGTTCGTTCTCCCACGGGAAATTTATCCTTGGCGTTCTTTTTGTCTTCAGTGTTTAATATCATAGCAGTTTAATTATTTTTAATGGCTAGATATTTTGCAATTTTAAAGAGCCAGCTTTCTTAGGTAATGAAATAATTTTACACATATTATGAGAAGATGACATGTCTCAGAGTGTAAAATAGGTTAATTTTCAATTTTCTTAATTAGCCCATTTTTGTTAACCATTTTGTGGCAGTGAAAGTATTTATTTTTTAGCAGACACTTATATGTATGCTCTTGGCATTCTTCTAAACCCTTTATAAATATTAACTCATTTAATTTTCATGACAACTCTGAGGTAGGATTTGTGATTCTTCTCACATTTTGCAGATGAGGAAACTGAGGCATAGAAGTTAAGTAATCTGCTCAAGTCACTAGCCATTCTGGCTAGAGCTAGAATTTGAACTCAGGTAATTTGAATTCAAAGAAGGAGCTCTTTTCCAGAATGCCATGCTGCTGCTCTGGTTTGTATAATAATAGTGAGATAAGTTAGGGAATTACTACTCTTGGAGCTCAGTGGTACACCAAAAATACATGTTGCTAATGCCCTTGCCTCAGTTTATTCAGAAAGATGATTGCTCAATTGATTGTTTCTTCTTTTCATTCAATAAAACTTTGAGCTCCATGTACTAGGTATACAAAATATTATATATCTTTTTGAACAAAATGTGTTGCAGTGTGTAGTAACCTGCTTTTAGCATGCCCAAAAGAACTTCTACTTGTGATTGATCAACTTTCTTAACAAGTTTCTTTATGAATGCTGACCAATCTGCTTTACCTATTATTTGAGAGATTGTTTATTAATTTAGCAAGCATTTATTGAACTCCTAATACGTGTTAGAGTGCTATTCTAATGTCTTTTTAGATTAGGTAATAATAATGTGTAAAGTCTCCAATAGTTTAGCTATTAGGGTTTGTTTGGGAAAATGTTGCCTGCCTTTTAAGAAGGATTGCAAAGCATGGCAGGCCCTACATATTGACCCAGTGCCATTTGAATACTACATACCAAAGTAGACAGCTGCTTGTCCTCTCTACTTCTTAGAACTCATTTGTTCATCATTCAGCAAACGTTTGAGTACTATCATGTGCCAGGGATTATGCTAGGCACCATTATTAGTTGTTCTGCAACTTAATGCTTCTTTGGCACTATTCACAAATGCCCGCTTAACTGGTAGTAAGATCTTATCTTTAAAACATCCATGTCCTTAACCTTTTGGAAAACAACCAGATTGAGAAATAAAGAAGAGTATTTGAGCATTAGGGAATCTATCTCCAAATCTCATATACTATGCTCCATAGGTGAGACTATTGCCTTGATAAAATTGATTTCTTGAGCCAGTAACACCTGTATCCCAGTAACTTTGTGAACCTCAGTGCCTGCAGTTGCAGCCTAACAGTGTGCTTAATTAACTAAACTGCTGAAGGGAACAGCCTGCTGCTGGCCTTTGTGGTTATATTTTGTGTTCCTAAGATGGCCTGCCCTGTGGAAAGAAATGAGATAGTCTGCTCTGGGGCTGCTGCTGTTGCCATGAGGGTGAGGGGACTTGGGACTCTTTTGCTTAACTTTCCCTTAGCTCACCTTGCAGGCTAGGCCCAAAGATGGCCTCTTTTCTTGAGGCCTTTTGTTTATTTTTTTGAGGGGACTGGCAATTTCTGATTAAAATGAGACGGTTATAGGTCTCTGTTAAATGTAATCCACTCCACATCTCCAGTTAGGAGAATTCCAAATAATTTGTGTAAATACTTCCCTCTCAAGGAGATGGAGCATAACTTCCCACTCCTTAAATGTGGGCTGTGCATAGTGACTGCCTTCCAAAGAGCATAGTTGAGAAATAGGGGAAAAAAGGGTGACTTTACAGCGGAGGAAACCTGACAAATACTCCTTCAGTGAGGTGATTAACATCTAAAGTGATAAGGCATGTTGATAGGTTTCTACTCTTAGTATGATGTGGTAAACGGCACTTTTATGAGAAAAACATGAGACAAATTCCAAATGAGGAGCATCCTACAAAATATCCAATTGATATTCCTCAAAACTGTCAGTCTCATCAAAAACAAGGAAAGTCTAGGAAACTGTCATAGCCAAAGGGAGCCTAAGGAGACATGACAACTAAATGTAATGTGCTATTCTCGAGCAGAGAAAGAACATTAAATAAAGCTAAGGAAATCTCAGCGAAGTGTGGACTTTAGTTAATAATAATGTGTCATTGTTGGTTTACCAATGATAACAAATATCCCATGCTAATATAAACTGTTAATAATAGGGATGGTGGGGGCTGGGCACGGTGGCTTATACCTTTATAACTTATGCCTCATAACTTTAGCCTTTATAACTTATGCCTTATAACTTTAGCACTTTGGGAGGCTGAAGCGGGAGGATCACTTGAGGCCAGGAGTTTGAGACCAGCCTGAGCAACATAGTGAGACCCCATCTCTACAAAAAATACAAAAATTAGCTGAGCATGGTGGCATGCTCCTGTATTCCCAGTTACGTAAGAGGCTGAAGCAGGAGGATTGCTTGAGCCCAGACATCTGAGGTTGCAGTGAGCTGTTATGATGCCACTGCACTCTACTCTGGGTAATAGAGTAAAACCCTGTCTCAAAAAAAAGAAAAGGCAGAGATTGTGAGGTATATGGGAATGCTGTACTATCTTTGCACTTTTTTATAAATCTAAAATTGTTCTAAAATAACAAGTTTATTTAAAAGCAACAGCCACAAAAATCAATCCACCCACTCCTGGCTAGTCAACAGTTGACTCTTGCATTAATTTTGACTTGGGACTATCTGCAGTGTTTCTCCACAACTTAAGAGTTGATTTTGCCATAATTGATTTCAATAAAATATTAATTTGAGTCTTATGTTCTTTTAAAAGCATATTAACGGCTGGGCGCGGTGGCTCACGCCTGTAATCCTAGCACTCTGGGAGGCCGAGGTGGGCGGATTGCTCGAGGTCAGGAGTTCGAAACCAGCCTGAGCAAGAGCGAGACCCCGTCTCTACTAAAAATAGAAAGAAATTAATTGGTCAACTAATATATATAGAAAAAATTAGCCGGGCATGGTGGCACATGCCTGTAGTCCCAGCTACTCGGGAGGCTGAGGCAGGAGGATTGCTTGAGCCGAGGAGTTTGAGGTTGCTGTGAGCTAGGCTGACGCCACAGCACTCACTCTAGCCTGGGCAACAAAGCGAGACTCTGTCTCAAAAAAAAAAAAAAAGAATAAGCATATTAAGATAGGAAAGTATATTTTAGAATAATTTTTGTTGAGACCAGTGTTATATTTTAAAGATTTACTTAAAGGGAAGGCATTTTAAGGTGAATGTTGATAATTTTGAATTTGCAAAAATTGTGTGGGGGTGGTATAGGGGATAGGTTTGGAAGGGTGGCTATCGTAAATGTTCAGAGGGAAGATAATGATGGCCTATCTGTAGAATCCTAGAGTCCATGGGGAAGAATAGTTGGAGTTTCAAAGGGGAGAATCAAGAGGACAAATTGAATGTGGGAATAAGAAGGCAGGAAAGAGTCTAGAATGATTCTTGGTTTCTGAGTAGAATGGCTGACTAAATGATAATAAAGGTGGCCAAGATCAAGAATATAGGAGGAGCATGGGAAAGGGAAGGAGGAAAAGAGGGATTTGTACTATGTTGGTTTTAGTGCATTGTTAGAGTTGTCATAATAGTACATTGATGAGTTTCAGACTCTGTACTAAAACATTTTTATATTATCTCATTTAATTCTTACAGTAACCTTATGGTATTTTATAAGATCTATATAAATTTTGGTATTAGATATGAATCATGACCATTGTTGCAGTTAGAGATAGGAGCTAGAGATGTTGTGGGGGAGAATGCATACATAGTTAGGGTTCACAGGGTCCAGGTTTGGGCATCAGCTTTAAATATAGGTGATTGGACTTGGAATGAATAACATTAATTAAAGTTGTAAGAGATTGGTGTGTAAGTAAAAATGCTAAATTAGTGTTTATAGAAAGAATTAGTGCTAAGTGAGTTACAGTATTCAAAACAGCTGATCTCTAAATTTTTTTTTCCTGCCTGCTGAGGGGGGGGAACACATCTATGGAAAGCTAACTTACAATTGGAAATTGTTTGGTGAGCAAGAACAATTGGTTGGATGATCTTAACCAACAGTGTCATTAACTGGTGATAATTTTCCATGTAATGATGTACTGATCAATGATGAAAGCATTCTACTGGAGGGCAAATTAGAAAAATGTGGCTGCGTTCTCAGGAGACTTTCTGTGGGTAATTCTGAGGATACTCTGACAAATACTTTTTCTTATAATCTTCACATAAACCATTTCTCTCTTTTTAAACTAATTACTGTTTTCCAGACAAAGATACATAATTTTCATCTTTTAGTTGTAATTTCATACCATTGATTTAAATTTTAGGCCAGCTGGACTTCTGGATTTCCCCTTCTACAAATCTTTTTCTCTAGATGTTTGCTGTGTGTTTTATTTACTTACTTAACTGTTGTCTGATGTATTCCCCTCATTTTCCAATTTAACACTGTTTCTATGGAAAGTCAGAAATTACCATTTTATTTAAAATACCTTGCTAGTATTGTAATAATTTTCTTAATCAGTTTAAAATGAGGCATTTGGATTAAATAATGTCATGCTTCTTTAAATTTAATTTTTATGGTATATTTCTTATTCTCTCAGTCTTATAAGAGGAACAAAGATGGTATTTTAATTATGATTATTTTATAGTATAATTTACCACATTAAGTAGGATTAATTAAAAGAATAGATTTGCTCTGAAATGAAAACAAGTTCTTTGAAAATCTGAACTGCATTTTAATATTAGGATTGATTTACTTTGTAGAAGGTGATTTAGAAGAGACAAAGATAATTTTTGTCACTTCCACCCATAGCCTAGAATTAACTATCCCTAGAAATACTGTCCCTTGTTTGGACTGTTCAGTTAAATGTATCCTACTGAGAGAGGGAAAAGTAGAAACACACAAAGTAAGGACATAGTAGAGAGGCAGCAGACTTTCAGTAATATGCATCTATTTCTGTTTAAGTGCCTTAATAACTTTCTGAGCCATTGGCTCTTCTTTCTGAGGGACTTCAGCTTTCCCTAGCCTGTTCACTTATCAAATGCAAGACCAGAAGATTAAGTAAATGATGGCTCCATCTCAGCAGACAGTTTATGCCCAGAAGAAAAATTGCTCCCTTTCCCTTTCCTTTCTTTGAGCTATTGGCAGTGTAATGTGGGAACGTACTTCTGACACTAGAGTAGAAGACGGGACACGTGATTCCATAAACCAGCTTCTTAGGAATATCTCTTCAGTTAATATGACTTTTAAAATAACTTGATGGGCCAGGTGTGGTGGCTAATACCTGTAATCCCAGCACTTTGGGAGGCCAAGGTGGGGTGATTGCTTGAAGCCAAGAGTTTAAGATGAGCCTGGGCAACATCGAGATCTTGTCTCTACAAAAAATTGAAAAATTAGCCTCGTATATAGTACTAGGTACTCAGGAGGCTGAGGCAAGAGGATTGCTTGATCCAGGGTGTTGGAGGTTACAGTTAGCTATGATTGTGCCACTGTACTCCAATCTGAGCAACAGAGACCTTTCTCTGAAAAAATAAAATTCAGGCCAGGCTAGGTGGCTCACGCCTGTAATCCTAGCACTCTGGGAGGTTGAGGTGTGATTATTGCTTGAGGCCATGAGTTGGAGACCAGCCTGAACAAGAGCGAGTCCTTGTCTCTACAGAAAAATAGAAAAACTTTAGCCAGGTGTAGTAGCATTTGCCTATAGCCCTAGCTACTTAGGAGGCTGAGGCAGAAGAATTGCTTGAGCTGAGGAGTTTTAGGTTGCAGTGAGTTGTGATGATGCCACTGCACTCTAGCCAGGGTGACAGAGCGAGACTCTGTCTCTAAATAAATAAATAATTTTTTTAAAACAAGCAACCTGATGAAGTTAGCATGAACCACGCCATTTTATTTAAAACTTATTATTACATTGGTATATCTTGGCTAAAAGGAATAAGGTGCAAATTAAAAAGATTTTAATGCAGTAAGCCCAAATATTATTTTTTTTGATTTATTTTTTTGATATATTTTTTGATTTAAAAAATGTTTTTAATCAAACTAATATATGTAATTAAGTCAGATACTACTACAAAGCTTATAATGAAAGATAACTGTGCTTCCTCCCTCATCTCTTGTCCTGTCACCAATAACTTATAACTTATCCTGCAATTTCTTAATTTATCAATTGTGTGACATTATCTAGTGATTTCATGTTATGGAAAGTGAAGATTTGAAACTAACATGCTCTGTTACTACCCGTCCTCTCAACATAGTTGTGTCACAGTTTTTCTTTAAATCAATAACAAGTATTTACATTATTATTTTTAAATATTATATTTTGTTTTTAATAAAACTTTTTTTCAAGATTGAATATTTATATCTTTTAAACTTTCAAAAGAACTGTAAAACCATTGTAAATTCTGTTTCTTGCATGGTCAAATGTGTAGGGTAATAAACAACATATGGCATTGGCATCATTATTATCCAGACATTCAGTAGTATAATGTGATACCAATACATTTCCCCACAAGAATCTGAGTCATAGTCTGCATAATACCTAGTATTTTATTTCAGTCCACTGAATGAAGAGGATTAGAATCCTTAATAATGACTGAAAGCTAGGTGTGGCAGTGCCCGCCTAGAGCCCCAGCTACCCTTAAGGCTGAATCAGGAGGATCATTTGAGCCTAGGAGTTCGAGACCATCCTGGGCAACATAGCAAGACCATGACTCTAAAAATTAAAAAGGAAAGAACTTAAACTAAAGCAGAAAACCTTAGTCTTGAGAGAGATGGATGAGATTTAGGGGTTTGTAGACTCACCCAAAATTGTAGGTAGGCCAAGCGTGGTGGCTTACGCCTGTAATCCTAGCACTCTGGGAGGCTGAGGTGGGTGGATTGCTCAAGGTCAGGAGTCGAAACCAGCCTGAGCAAGAGTGAAACCCTGTCTCTCCTATAAATAGAAAGAAATTAATTGACCAACTAAAAATATATATACAAAAAATTAGCTGGGCATGGTGGCGCATGCCTGTAGTCCCAGCTACTGGGAAGGCTGAGGCAGGAGGATCACTTGAGCCCAGGAGTTTGAGGTTGCTGTGAGCTAGGCTGACGCCACGGCACTCACTCTGGCCTGGGCAACAAAGTGAGACTCTGTCTCAAAAAACAAAAAAAACCCCAAAATTGTAGGTAAAGATTTTGACATGTATTCTTCCATAGCTTTCCATAGTTTTCCAAAGAATTCTGTCATCCTCAAACAGTGATTGTAACTCAGTAACAACCAATGAATGGGGTCTTTAAGCTGTGATTCTCAGTACATTTGAGGTCATAAACCTGTTTAAAAGTCTGATAAAAGTAAATTTCCTGATTTGAGTACAATTTTAGAGGTTCTTGGATCCTTCAAAATCTATTCTCAGACTTCTTTAACTTTCTATGTGGGATTCAAATAGACCACTGCCGATAACCACATTGAGTCGTGTTAGACCTTAGGCTCATTATTTCAGAAGTTTATAATTGCATTTATATACATTCTTATTCTACGTATTTACCCTGTTTCTCTGTTTAAATTTTTATCATTCATATATATATATGAAAAACTTAGGAAAAACTATCCCAACATGTATCTTAACTATTATTTCTTGCTCTTTTATACTCTATTGGCACAATTTTTGAAGTTTTTATTTTCTGGGTTTTTTTTAGGAATGAATGCAAATTAAAAAAATATAGCTGTATATGTAACCTTTTAATTCAGTGTTCTAAGACATATATCAGTGTTGTATGTGCCAAGTTCAGTCAGTGCTCTTTTGACATGAGTAGTTATCTTAGGCCTCAGTCTTAGAGAAAACAAAACAAAACAATTATGTGCCTGTAGTCACAGCTGCTTGGGAGACTGAGTCAGGAGGATCACTTGAGCCCAGGAGTTGCCCAGGTTGTAATGAGCTATGATTTTGCCACTGCATGGGTGACAGAACAAGTACCTTTTGCTTTGAAAAAAAAAAAAGAGAGAAGGAAAGGAAAAGGGGGAAAAATAATTAGTGGATAAATATATTAAGGGAGTTTTATATTATGAGTTTTACAGGTAAAATCTTTCTGTTAAGAAAAGTTACCAGTGTGTTGTAAGAAAAGTTGCCTCTAAGTTTTGGGGAGTGGACTAACTTTTTCTATGAGAAGCATTCATATCTTGATAATTCTCCTCTTTTATGCTTGGAGTTTTAAATGTGTGATACTCTTTAGGATGACTTTTGTCTTTTTTGCTTTGGAAATATTTTGTTACCAATTCTTAAATTTTAAATATTAAATTATAATTGCCAGGCAGTGGCTCCATAGCTCAGGGGTTAGAGCACTGGTCTTGTAAATTATAATTGCCATTTTGTGTGTTTTGATCTAAACTGAGTTTAGTACTACTAAATGACATATATCAGATTTTAACTCTACAGTTCATGATAATCTGCCAGTTGTGTATGTCTATATAGATAGTGTCTTAATTATCACAATTTCAGTACTTTCTTATGTGTGTGGTTGTTGTTACCTGGCTGTCCTTCATTAACTTTTTCATTAATAGATACTATTGAAATTGAACTTGAAAGATTCCACAAAGCCAAAATTATGCCCTCATTAGGGTATATTTCTTTTCTCTTTGGTTTCTTCCTCTTATAAAGTTTCCCTTTTGTAGTGCTTCCATTCTGTTTCGATTCTGTTCTAAACAGTGATAGTTATTCACCTCTTACAATGTCAAAATTTACACTTTTGAGATTTAGAAAAATTGAATTTGTCTCTAAGAGCATGATTTTTTTAAAAAAGGAATATCTTCATTTGATTTTAGAAGTTTCTTTCCAATATATTTTTCTTAAGAAAATAATATCAAATTATGTAAATTGAAAGTAATGTGAATTTAACTTTCAGTGCAATGCGTGTTTTACTATCTAAATTACCACGACCATGGATTGTGGATGAGAAGAAAGATGATGGTTATACTGCCTTGCATCTGGCTGCCCTTAATAATCATGTAGAAGTGGCTGAATTGTTGGTACATCAGGTAGGAAAAGCAGTTCAATACTTTTTAAAAGAATTTGATAACATTATCATTCATTTATTTACTTTATCAACTGCCTACTAGATTACAGTAAAAACCCCATGATAATAAAAATTTGGTTATAATGCACATGTTATCTTCTGCCTAACACTGGTTCTTAAATGAAGAGGAGTGATGTATGTGTATGAGAGTGGATCCCTCAGTTCCAAGTATTTCCTCTGCACTGTCTTCCTGGATTGGTCTGATGAAATAGGTACCAGATTATAAGATATACACTCCCAAAATTACAGAAATTTAAATAGATCAAAAGTTAATCTATATATTATATTCATTCTTAAGTAACTTTTTGGGATGCTATTATAAATTATATTGTTTTTGTTTCCAATTTCCAGTTGCATATTGCTAGTATATAAAAAATATAATTGTTTTTTGTATATTGCCCATGTAGCCTATGACCTTGATTAAACTTATTTATTCTAGTAGCTTTTTTATAGATTGCTTAGTATTTTCTACATATTGATCATACAGATCAAAAGAATAGAGAATGTAGAAGTAGAACCACATATATATGGTCAATTAATTTTTGATAAGAGGTGCCAAAATAATTTACTGTGGGAAAGTGTAGTTTCTCAAAAATAGGGGTAGAACAAATAGATATCCATACACCCCTCCAAAAAAAACCCAAACCTCCCAAACAAAAAACCTTTACCTTTACATCACACATTATATAAAAATTAAATGAGTCACAAATCTGAACATAAAAGCTTAAGCCATAATGATTTAGAGGGGGAAAAAACAAAGAAAAAGGACCAAAAAACCAGAAGTGTATCTTCTGACTTAGAGATACACAAAGATTTTTAGGAGATAGAAAGTCATAATTATAAAAGAACAAAAACCTAATAAATTGGACTTCATAAAAAATTAAACTTTTATTCATTGAAAGACATAATTAAGAAAATGAATTGGAAAGCCACACTAGGGAAAACATATTTGACAAAATACTGGTATTCTGGATATGTATAAAGAACTTTTACAACTTAATAATAAAAGGACAAATAACCTTATAAAAATAGCCAAAAAATGTAAACATCCACTTCACCAAAGGAGTAATATAGTTAACAAATAAGCAAATGGTTGTTAGGGAAACAGACATTAAAACCATAATGAGATACTGCCAATCACCCATTAGAATAGCTAAAATTAGACAAAACCAAGTATTGGTTAGGATGTATAACAATTAGAATTCATGTACATTGCTGGTGTTTTTTAAAGTAGGCACTTTGAAAATCAAGTTTAGTGGTTTCTTATAACGTTAGACATGTATTCACTTTATCACCCAGCTGCCCCACTTCTAGGTATGTACCTGAGAACTTCAGACACATTTCTATGCAAATACGGGTACAAAATGTTCATGGTAGCTTTACTTATAATAGCCTGACACAGGAAGCAAGCCAACTAGTTCATCAACTAGTGCCTGGATAAATTGTGGTACACCCATACAATGAATAACACTTCGTAAATTCTAAATGATAGAAAAGCTCAGGAAACTAAAAAAGAAAACCCCCCACTGTTCATATTTATATGAGAACAGATAATGATAAAAAAAATTAGCTGAGATCAGGTACTTCATGACTACTTTCAAAGAAACATAAATAATAAAAACAAACCAGAAACTCCCATCTTGCAGAATACAGCATAGAATTACTGTATTTTAGCTCTACCTGATATCTCAAGTAAGGGCACCAGTGGGTATCAGAGTTGTAATCAGGGGGTGTGAATGGTTTTAAGAACTAAGCAAAATGATAAAAGTTATCTTTAAAATCTTTAGCTTTTTTTTTTTTTTTTTTTTTGAGACAGAGTCTTACTTTCTTGCCCAGGCTGGAGTGAGTGCCGCGGCGTCAGCCTGGCTCACAGCAACCTCAAACTCCTGGGCTCAGTGATCCTACTGCCTCAGCCTCCCTAGTAGCTGGGACTACAGGCATGCGCCACCATGCCCGGCTAATTTTTTTTTGTATATATATTTTTAGTTGGTCAATTAATTTCTTTCTATATTTTGGTAGAGACGGGGTCTTGCTCAGGCTGGTTTTGAACTCCTGACCTCGAACAATCCGCCTGCCTCGGCCTCCCAGAGTGCTAGGATTACAGGCATGAGCCACCGTGCCTAGCTTTTTTCTTAATTTCATTTTTTTTTGTAATTATGCCAGACATTGTGCTAGGCAGTTTTACATGTTATTTTTCTTAATCCTAACCTTAGCCCTGTGAAATAGGTTGTGCTGTCACCATTTGGGAGCTGGGGCAATAGGCATGTATAATGCTTGCTTAAGTTCATGTAGCTTATAAATGAAAGAGCTTGAACGTAGGTCCTCTAACTTCAAGTGCACTTATTTTGCCCCTCAGTCCTTTTCCCCATTAGGCATCAGCTATTCTGATAGAGTCCTTTGGCTATCGTAGGACACCGGGTGAGACTTTCTGCTTCCTTTAATAAATATTTTTATGTACTAATTAAGCATTTCCTTCTTCTGACCTCAAGCAAAGTTTCTTTTCACTGAATGGGAAAGAACTCAAATATACAGGCAAGGGGAAGTGGATTTTTCAGGTTACTAAAATAAATCTAAATCCAATATGAAGAGTCATTCATATAACTTTTTGTTTTTTTGAGACAGTTTCACTCTGTCTGTTGCCCTAGGTGAAGTGCAGTGGTGTCATCATAGCTCACTGCAACCTCAAACTCCTCCTGGGTTCAAATGATCCTCCTGCCTTAGCCTCCTGAGTAGCTAGCTGGGACTAAAGGTACATGCTACAACACCCGGCTAGTTTTTCTATTTTTAGTAGAAGACAGGGTCTTGCTCTTGCTCAACCGGGTTTCAAACTCTTTGAGCTCAAGTGATCCTCCGGCTCTGCCTCCCAGAGTGCTAGGATTACAGTGTGAGCCACCGCAGCCTGGCCATTAATACAACTTTTTAGGAAATATTTACAGCTCAAATAAGTTGATTATCTCCATTGCTGCATAATGGATATTGAAAGAGAGGTGTGTTTGAACTCCATTCTGTGCTTTGTCCTTTATTCTTAGATGGAATCACTATAATAAAAATAATTTTTTTAAATGTGCTATTATCTACTTCAGAAAGCTTGCTGCGCTGTCCATTTTTCTTACTTTAGCAGCAACTATGAAAATAGTGTCACAGCAGCTGAAGGAGAAGAAAGTGGTAACGATATTCAGTGTTATTTATTCCTTATGAATAGTTATAGTTTTAGCATTCTTCACTGTTGTCAAATTTTAACCATTTAAAACTTGTTCTTTTTATTCAGGGTAATGCAAACCTGGATATCCAGAACGTGAACCAACAAACTGCCTTACACCTTGCTGTTGAACGACAACACACCCAAATTGTTAGGGTAAAGTATTTATTAACATAAATTAGTTTACAGTTATTTTAACCAGACAGATTTTTTTAGAATCTTTTGCAGACTGAAATGATACAGTGTTAGATTTCTCAAAAAGCCATAGTTAAATGTACAACTTATGATTTTAGGCTAATATTTTGCATGAGTTAGGTAAAGAGTTTTAATATCTAATAGCAAAAATCTTTAAATTCTGATATTCAAAGTCTTTATAATTTTATAATTTTGTGAATTCTCAATATTAAATGAGAAAATTTCAAAGTAACATGAATTCATTTTCAAAAGTATATTCCTTCTTTAATTTATATATAATTGAGTGTAAACTAGAAATTAAAAGCTTTGGCTGCACATTTGCTACTGCAGATTTCAAAAAACATGAAATATAATTTTTTAGTTTACTAATCTGGTGACCCAAACAAAAATATGTGAAAGAGTATCAGCTTGCGTATTTTTATAGAGCAGTGATTCTTTTTTTTTTTTTTTTTTTTTTTTGAGACAGAGTCTCGCTTTGTTGCCCAGGCTAGAGTGAGTGCCGTGGCGTTAGCCTAGCTCACAGCAACCTCAAACTCCTGGTCTCAAGCAATCCTTCTGCCTCAGCCTCCCAAGTAGCTGGGACCACAGGCATGCGCCACCATGCCCGGCTAATTTTTTCTATATATATTAGTTGGCCAATTAATTTCTTTCTATTTATAGTAGAGACGGGGTCTCACTCTTGCTCAGGCTGGTTTCGAACTCCTGACCTTGAGCAGTCCGCCCTCCTCAGCCTCCCAGAGAGCTGGGATTACAGGCGTGAGCCACTGCGCCCAGCCTAGAGCAGTGATTCTTAAAGTTTGGAGGCTGAACCAGCGGCATCAGCATCACCTGGGAACTTGGTAAAAAATTCATTCTTAGGCCCTACCTCAGACCAACCAAATCAGAACCTGTAGGGGTGGGAACCAGCAATCACTAGTTTAACAAACCCTGCAGGTAATTCTGATGGATGTCTAAATTTGAGAAATACTACCCTAGAGTAACATTTTATGTAACCTTTTTGGGACAAAGGGGGAAAAATGCAATTTGCCAAGACAGGGAAGAGATTGAGATTGGTTTCTATAGATGGTATAAGGAGGCTTTTCTAAAGCTCTATGATAGTGTTTGTTGAAAGGATTAGGAAAATTGTTAAAGCACCACAAGCAGAGTCTTAAACTTATTTTTATTGCTTAAGTAATCTGTTGAAATATGTCTATTATGTATTTTATCTAAGAGGTTGTAGATTAGCAAATACTGTTCACATTTATTGTTATTTGTAATTCCTCTTGCTCAAAATTCCTCATTTATCCTCCGTGACTTTCCTCTTAACCATACATTTGGAGAAAATTGACCAAAAGAGAATGTAATCAATAACTTTGCTTGTTTGTTTAAATAATAGAAAAATTTTGAACATTATGATTTGGTCTTGGTGGAAGTGCTTAAAATATCTCAAGTCAAGTTTCTAAAATTAAAAGGAGAAAAGGAGTCTAAATTTGCCCCAGTTCCCATCATCTTAGAGTAGACAAATTAAGCAATATACTGATTCTCATTTCTATTTTCTCTAATTCAATGTATTTGAATAACCAGAACATATCACTCTTTGTAAGGAGCCACAGGGGTGGAGAATATTAGAAAGCAAAGACATAAAAATCATTAGCTTTACTGGTATCTCCTATAGGGTCAGGGTGCTCTCACTGTTGCTTTAGACATGTTGTAGTTTCTTATGGATGTGGATACTTTACCAAAATAAAATATTTTTCTCTTTTAGCTTCTGGTTCGTGCAGGTGCCAAGTTAGATATTCAGGATAAGGATGGGGATACTCCTTTGCATGAAGCCCTGAGACATCACACTTTGTCTCAGCTGCGTCAGCTCCAAGATATGCAAGATGTAGGGAAGGTGGATGCTGCTTGGGAGCCATCCAAAAACACAGTGAGTAAAAATAATCTTTCATTCAGTACTAGTGGAAGTATTTTTTAATGCAAGATCTTATATTTGCTGCTAATCTAATCTGTATCAGATAAAATATTTTATCAGAGCTACTTACTTAGAAATTTAGTTTATGAACTAAATACTAAGTCAATACTAACTATATTACTTAACATTTTTACTTAAAGTTGTTCAGTTCTTTTTAAATTCAGCCATTCAAATAGGGAGTGGTATTTTGTGGTTTTAATTTGCGTACCCCTAATGATTACTGATACTGTCTTTTTATTTTCTTGTGACCTCATATATTTGATGAAGTGTCTGCTCAAATCTTTTGTTCATTATTTTGTTGAGTCTTTTGTTTTCTTATTTTATTGAATTTTGAGAGTTGTTTATATAATCAGAATATCAGTTCTTTATCAGATATGTGATATGTACATATTTTCTCACTGTGGCTTGTCTTCATTCTTCTAACAGTGTTTTTGGAAGAAAAATTAATTTTTTCTCCCATCATTTGTGTTTTTTGTGTTCTATCTGAGAAATCTTTGCCAAATGCAAGGTCACTGAGGTTTTCTCTGTTATGTTTTGTACTAGAAGTTTGTAAAATTTTATCTGTTTCATTTAGGTCTATGATTCATTTTGAGTTAATTTTTATATATATAGTATGATATAGATAGATCCAAGTTCATTTTCTTACTTGTGAATATTCAGTTGTTCTGGCACCAGTTATTGAAAAGACTTTTTTTCTACTGAATTGCCTGTGTACTTTTATCCAAAATCAGTTAACCATATACGTAAAAGTCTCTTTCTGGATCCTGTATTCTGTTCTATTGATCTTTGGTTTGGCTATGTGATACCAGCCCCAGTTTCTTAATTACTGTAGTTGTATAATAAGTGTTAAAGTCACGTAGTGTAAGTCCTCCAATTTTCTTACTGTTTTTTCAAAGTTGTTTGACTGTTTATTCTAAGTCCTTCACATTTCTTTATGTCTCATTTTAAAATGGGGGTAGAGTAATATCTACCTTCATAAGGTTATTGTAAAGATCATGGAAAGTGCTTAAAGTAATACTTGGTTCTATGAGAAAGGGAAATTGCATTAAAAAAGCAGAAAAAATAATACCTGGTCCATTTTAGACACTCAATAAATATTAACAATTATTGTGACTATTTTTGGATACAATGGTTGAATAAGTAGTGCAGGTGATATTATCAGAACCTGATTTGTCTTATTCTCCATTTCTTGGCTCAATTCCTAGTTATTGGTTGTATTCTCAGTTGTCTCTCCTGTCATTATTTCAAGTTAATTGCTAGCAGCTCCAGAGCCAAATTGAGTAGAAAAGACTTCTGTTTCTTTAATCTCTCAATCTGAAGTCCTGCTCTTGAGTTTTATTGATCTAAATTGGCTTGACTTGGGTTATATGTCCCTCCCTGAACTAGTCATATAGGTGAGATAGGTGTCTGGTTGGTTTGGGCCATCTTTGGTCCACGTCTGCAACTGGAAAATGGGTCTCGTGTCAATATATATCAGAGAAAATTGAGAGTGGGGAGAAGAGGGAAGGGATTTTATAGTGAAAAATATTCACTATACATTCACACACACACACACACACACACTGGAAAGAATTGATAGCAGATTCATAAAGGGAAAATTGACTTTTTTTATTTGATTTCAGTTAATAATGGGACTTGGTACCCAGGGGGCAGAGAAGAAGAGTGCAGCATCTATTGCCTGTTTCTTGGCAGCCAATGGCGCTGACCTTAGCATTCGAAATAAGAAGGGTCAGTCACCACTTGATCTCTGTCCTGATCCAAGTCTCTGCAAAGCACTGGCAAAGTGTCATAAGGAAAAAGTCAGGTTTGTATGATTTATTATCATAAAAATTAATATTCTATACTGAAAGCATCGTGCAGTTTCATAATGGAGAACTTGACTACTTGAAAATGTCTTTGTCTTTGCTCTTTCTGTATCTTTGTGTGGACCCTTTCTTCCCTGAAAGTTTTCCTGCAGGGCAGTGTATCTCTTATTTTGTGTTGTGTTCCTCACATGATTAAGTGAAGTGCTTTATGCCTAATAGGTTCCAAGAAACTTTTCTAAACTAGTCTATTCTCCTAGTATTGCTATGTGTTAGAGGAATTTATAAGAGAAAGTCTGATAGTAAAAATACTGTGATTAATGTTATATACATTTAAATTTTTATTTTTTTAATTTTTTTTTTAGAGATGGATCTCGCTATTTTGCACAGGCTGGACTCAAATTCTTGGGCTTAAGCAATCCTCCCACCTCAGCTTCCCAAGTAGCTGGGACTACATGTGTGTCACTGCACTCAGTTCTGTATTTAAAATTTTAATAGAATCTTCCTAAGAGAGGCAGTTTATACTCCATGAGCAGTGTATATCTCACACAAACTCTGTAATAATTCTAGCACCTTGCACAGCACCAGACATGCTTCATAAGTATCAACGAAGGATTGACAGAACAAACAAATGAATGAACCAGTTCCTAGTGGTGTTTTCTCTAAAAATGATCATTTCACATTTATCTCTTTTTATGAAAATAAACATGTTAATGATTTAATTATTATTTATGACATAATTCGTTTCCTTATTATGCGATATTATAGACATACCAAAAGGTACACATCTCATTACTTTTTTGTCTGAACAGTGCTGTGAAATTATTATTGCCCTTATTACCTGGTTCTTGTCACTGAACATTTTGGTAGCTGTTCTCTTGCCTTTCTTACAATTTATGTGTAGTTTTGGAATTTGTGCATAGAGCTGTGTTATAGGTAAAATTAATATAACAAGATATATACATTTCTCTTTTTTGTGTGTATGAGACAGAGTCTCATTTCTGTTGCCCAGGCTAGAGTGCTGTGGCATCAGCTTAGCTCACAGCAACCTCAAACTCCTGGGCTCAAGTGATCCTCCTGCCTCAGCCTCCCGAGTAGCTGGGACTACAGACATGCGCCACCATGCCCAGCTAATTATTTTCTACATATTTTTAGTTGGCCAATTAATTTCTTTCTATTTTTAGTAGAGATGGGGGTCTTGCTCTTGCTCAGGCTGGTTTTGAACTCCTGACCTTGAGTGATCCTCCTGCCTCGGCCTCCCAGAGTGCTAGGATTACAGGCGTGAGCCACCGTACCCTGCCTTACATTTCTTTAAGTGTATCCTTAAAGAGGATAAAATTCTATTATAGAAAAACATACAAAAAAGAAAAAGACAATGCATTTATAAATATACAGATACAGGGCACTATGATTACTGTAAATAACTTTTAACAATGAAGTATAACAGCAGTCCCCAGCCTTTTTGGCACCAGGGACCAATTTCATGGAAGATAGTTTTTCCATGGAGTGGGGCGGGGTGGGAGAATGGTGAGGAGGAGCTCAGGTGGTGATGTGAGCAGTTGGGAAGGGGAGTGGCTGTAAATACAGATGAAGGTGGTGATGTGAGCAGTTGGGAAGGGGAGTGGCTGTAAATACAGATGAAGTTTTGCTGCTTACCTCTTGCTTTTGTACCCTGCTAATTTTTCCACTAATGGAGGTGGAGAGTAGGGTGGAGCTCTGTGTACTGGTCCGTAACAAGACTGTGGACTGGAGGTGGGGGGCTGCAGGGGTATGAGATGGAACCTGTGTGTGTGTGTTGTGTGTGTGTGTGTGTGTGTGTGTGTGTGTGTGTGTGTGTTCATGAGTTTCTGAGGATTGCAGTAGAAACTGTATCTTTTTTCTGAAGCTGTGGTTTGGTCATATATATGTATTTCTGTGCCTTGTAGCTACATATTTATAGAATTCATTCTCTTTTTCTATAATAGAATTTTTTATATTCCTCAAGGACACACTCAAAGAAATGTCAAAACAGCAGCTGAAGAGTCGTATTTTCCCAAGTGCTTTACCTATCGTGGACTCTGATGATGCCTTTGTTCTATCTTTAGTTACAATACCTAACATGGTTGCTAGTTAGGATTTTTGTTTTATTCCTATGCCTGCCTTTGTCTGCTGATTCTATGTAGATAGAACAGGTTCTGAGTTAAATTTTGTTTATGTTAAATTTTTTTTTATGACTGTTTTGATTTCTTAGTTAAAAGATTCACTCTTTTCCACTGGGTGAGGGTTTTTTCAGTTTGAATTTTGAATCTGGCCAGAAGTATGTAAAGATGCAGAGGTGTATATAAATAGAAAAATATAGTATACAGTGTTTCACACACAGATGTTAAAGCTTAATTTTTTAACATAACTAAAATTGTTTTTATGTATTGTAATGATACTCTAGATGTATTTTAAAACATTTTAATTAATTTGTAGTAGAAATATTTTGATAGACTTGATTTGAAATATTTTCTTTTATTAGTGGTCAAGTGGGTTCTCGAAGTCCTTCTATGATTAGTAATGATTCTGAAACCTTAGAAGAGTGTATGGTGTGCTCAGATATGAAGAGAGATACTCTTTTTGGCCCATGTGGACATATTGCTACCTGTTCTTTATGTTCTCCACGAGTCAAGAAATGCCTCATCTGTAAAGAACAAGTTCAATCCAGGACAAAGGTAATATGCTTTGAATATAGTATTTTACTATTTTAAGAAGGTTTTTGAAACTATAATTAATGATAAATAAGATTATATGACATCATGAGTCTGTTTGCTTTTGTTCTTCCAACCAATGATTTAAATATAGGAATATATAATTTATACATTTATTAAGAGATCAATTCAGAATTTCTGAGTTTATTGCTGGTTTACAGTCTTACTAATGTATTTATTTGCCAAGTTCATTATTATCTGGATTCAGTACTACTATTACTCTAAGAAATGTTTTTTTCTAGCCCTTATGTGTTTCCTTCTAAGGTATAGTAGCTAAAAATAAAAGTTATCTATTGTTTTGCTTTCAAAGCCCCCTATTACTATAGGTACATTTATTTTTTTTTTATTTTTTTATTTTTTTGAGACAGAGTCTCGCTTTTGTTGCCCAGGCTAGAGTGAGTGCCGTGGCGTCAGCCTAGCTCACAGCAACCTCAAACTCCTGGGCTCGAGTGATCCTTCTGCCTCAGCCTCCCGGGTAGCTGGGACTACAGGCATGCGCCACCATGCCCGGCTAATTTTTTATATATATATCAGTTGGCCAATTAATTTCTTTCTATTTATATTAGAGATGGGGTCTCGCTCTTGCTCAGGCTGGTTTTGAACTCCTGACCTTGAGCAATCCGCCCGCCTCGGCCTCCCAAGAGCTAGGATTACAGGCGTGAGCCACAGCGCCCGGCCTATAGGTACATTTAGTTCTACTTTGTATTGTAGTTACTTGTATATCATACTTTTTTTGAGTTTTGTATTCATTTTTGTAAAAACACTAGTTCATTTTTTTTTTGTAGAATATCACACATTCTAGATTTGTTTGTTTTATCATAGTGTTGTTCAACTTGTTTCTCTATTCTCAGTGTTTCCTATAAACTGAAAGTTTGGTGTAATGGCTTGGTTAGGGTCAGCTTAACATTTTGGGGCAAGAAAACTATACAGATGGTGCCATGTACTTCATATTATGTCTCACCTGGAGGCAAATAAAGTTTTGTCCTCCTATAATTAGTGATGACCAAATTCTTTATCCACTCTGACCTTTTTATCTCTTCCTGAGTCCTTTTGCTTTTTGAGAAGTATTATTCTTTTCTGGGTTTCTAGTTTTATTCTTTTCCAATATATCTTAGTGCTTTATTATAGCTGTACCATTTTACTCATTTTGGTTTACTGAAATAATTGATTTTTTTTTTTTTTAGTTTTTCCTTACTTGATTGTGTGTGTGTATGTGTAAGTAAAATGAGGTTTTAGTCTCTTACAATTTTCTCAAGGTGAGTAGTTTAAACCAAAGAAATATGTTGAAGTTTAAACTTAGGAAGTATGTGCTCTTTTTCCATTCCCTTTTTATTCTCTTCATTTTTCTCTTGGCATTTCATTAACCGTCATTAATTAAAAAGGAGCTGGTGCTAATTCTCATAATAAATTAGTTGGCAGTGACTTAAAAGGTGTTATATTGCCAGTACTTCTTAAATTTTTAACTTTCATAAAAGTTAAAAGTTTTTAACATCACAAAAGCCTGGATGGCTTTTATGATCCAGATGAATATATCTTTGGTAAAAATTTTGGCATAGGAAAAAGCACAAGGAAATTACTTTTGGTAGGAGATGCTGGAGTGCTACTATGTGTGTAGTTACTTAATTTATAAAGGTAAGATGGTGAGCTGATAGCACTTATTGTATGCCAGGCACTGTGTTGACATTTCATATGCATTAAAATCGGTATCAGCCCTGCTTAGTAAATTAATGTGGATTAGTCTACTTGGTATTTATAATTTACTTTAGTTACCTGCTTACAATAAAGTGGCAGTTTGTGAAAGAGTATGAGAGAATAAAAATTTAAGGCATTCTCTTATTTTTAGATTGGTCTGTGTATTGTCCCATCGTGCTGGAAACTTTTTGTTAGATTAAGCCCTGTTTCAGCAACCTTTACTGAGCACCTATTTTCTAGTCAAGACAAAGATGTATATGATAAGTAACTGCTAAAATTTAGTTTTTCTGTTGGCAAACTATGGCTTAGTTTAAAAGCTACTTTGCTATATAGGATGTTATAGGTGCTTTATGAAAAATGTAAACTGAACAGGAGTTCAGCACCCCAGGTTGTCAAAAGCAGAGTCACCGATATGAAATGGCCCTTAGAAAAGCTAAAGCCCAAAGAAGTACACTGACAGCTGGTTCTTGAACACAGGTCTCTAAATTCTTCAGCCTTTGTTCTTTTCACTGTTTTGTGATGCACAGATAAAATTAGGAACAATGTCTACAAGGGAGGGTTGATATAATAGGGAGGTAGAGAGGAAAGCATATGCTGTCATTCTTTTTCAGACCTTCTGAATACAGTTATTCCAAGAGTTAATCAACTTGCAATTTGTTTTGTAAATTATGAAAATTTCAAACCTTTAGAAAAGTACGAAAATTAACATACCCACCTACCCAACAGATTTGCCAGGTTGCTTGCAGAGCCTTTGACTATAAAGAAATAGTGACCCCAAGTGGTTAAAAGGTAATGAACATCTTCCTTCATTGAAGGAAAAAAATACAGTGTTTGGAGGGTGAGAGAATAAACAAGCTTAGTCTCTTTACCAATTAGAAAAATACAAATAAAAAATTACGTATTAATATGAACTACTCCTGTCAGATTAGTAAAGGTAAATTTTTAAAAAATGCTAGCAAGGAAGTTAGGAAATGGGCTTTCCAAACACTACTGGAAGCTAGGAGACTATCCTGACAATATATATATAAACCATTACTGCAACATGACTTGATTTAGTAATTCTATTCCTGGGAATATAACCTAATGAGATAATCCAGAAGGAGGAGAACAGTCATGGTTACAAAGTTTTTTTAAAAATAGGAGAATGGGACCGGGCACTGTGGCTCACGCCTGCAATCCTAGCACTCTGGGAGGCCAAGGTAGGAGAATCGCTCAAGGTCAGGAGTTCAAAACCAGCCTGAGCAAGAGCGAGACCCAGTCTCTACTAAGAATAGAAAGAAATTAACTGGGCAACTAAAAATACATAGAAAAAATTAGCCGGGCATGGTGGCGCATGCCTGTAGTCCCAGCTACCCGGGAGGCTGAGGCAGAAGGATTGCTTGAGACCAGGAGTTTGAGGTTGCTGTGAGCTAGGCTGATGCCATGGCACTCACTCTAGCCTGGGCAACAAAGTGAGACTCTGTCTCCAAAAAAGAAAAGTAATAATAATAAGGGGAGATAGGTAAGTAGATAGTTGTTAGATCAATTCACTACACTATTTTAACCTCTTTGAAAACAATTCAGGTGCACAATTCAGATGCATTGGGAATCATTTAAAACACTAGTACAACTTTATACATAATATCAGATTTATTCTTTTTTTTTTTTTTTTTTTGCCCAGGCTAGAGTAAGTGCCATGGCGTCAGCCAGGCTCACAGCAACCTCAAACTCCTGGGCTCAAGCAGTCCTGCTGCCTCAGCCTCCCGAGTAGCTGGGACTACAGGCATGTGCCACCATGCCTGGCTAATTTTTTCTATATATATTAGTTGGCCAATTAATTTCTTTCTATTTATAGTAGAGATGGGGTCTCGCTCTTGCTCAGGCTGCTTTCGAACTCCTGACCTCAAGCAATCCGCCCACCTCGGCCTCCCAGAGTGCTAGGATTACACGCATGTGCCATCGCGCCCGACCCTGATTTACTCTTAATCACCCAGTGAAGAATTGTTCTTAGACATTCAGATGAACAAACAAAATTATGGCTCAGCAATATTAGATAATTTGTTAGTGTTGGAGGTAGATTTTGAATCCAGAAACACTGTTTTTGACCAACCATGTGTTACTGCTTTCCTCTGTTGCTACAATTACACAAATTCTATGTATATATTGAACTATAAGTTGAGAAAGTCCATAGAGAGAAAGCATGCAATATTTGGTTGTTTAGGTGACATTATAGGTGAGTGGTTGTCATTTTTGGCCAGTAACATTAAATGACGTGAGAGGGCTAAATGTGACTGTGTTAGAGTAGGGGAGAACAGGTGAAAGACAGCTGTGAAGCCAAGGGCAAGAGCCAAGGTTAATAGTTACATGCTCAAAACTCAGATTAAGTGGAGGTGAAGAAGGGGGTAAGATTGAGGGAAAATTATGCATAGGTTATAGAAAACTTGTGGCTTTAGAGATTTGGGGGAAAGAATAGCCCGAATCTTAGGGCTTCACGCAGCATGGAAATTGACGAAGTACTGGAAAAAGGGGCTCTTATTAATAGGTAGAGTTCCTTAAATGTGGGTAAACAGAAAAACTCCACTTAGACTTTAGCAATCTGGCTAGATTTTTATTAATATTAGAGATCTATCTTCTCTTGGTCATTGAGTTTTTTAACTGTTTTATTTGTTCATTGTCTTTTTAATTCCCTCGCAAAAGTAGTTTTTGGGGAAAAAAATTGAAGTCTAACCTGTTCTCTCTGACCTCAGAGGAAATGGAGTTTTTCTATATTGTTCTTTAAAACAGGTAGGGAAATTAACGTAGAAAAAGTGCCTGTTGTGCTAGGGTATATACAGATGTGAAAATGAGTAACCAGGAGAGTAGAGGACAAGGGAAAAGTGTGCATTAAACTTCTCTGTGCTTAGAGTGTTTCTTTATAGAGCAAATACACTGGATATAAAATCTGTTACACTGACTAGGTTTATTTGTAGATGTTCACTCTGTGCTGTAACTTCTTTTACTGTATGTAGATTGAAGAATGTGTGGTATGCTCTGACAAGAAAGCAGCTGTTCTTTTTCAACCCTGCGGACACATGTGTGCTTGTGAGAGTAAGTAGTTTATATAAAACTTCCTCAGTATTATTATAAAAATGGAAACAAAACAAAAGTTATATCTTTGAGGTTTTGTTTTTATATTTTTGCTTTTTGGATAATTACAAACAAAAAAGTTGGTGGGCCTCTAGTACCTTCCATTTATTTCTACTAGAATGTCAGCTAATCCCCTTTATGAGCTGAGCATTACAGAAGACTGAATATGCTGTGTTCTGCCACCCTGGATTTTGACTTTAGTTATATTAGCACAAAATGATCTCTTTTCACACACAATAGAAATTTATTGCCAAAAATGAATATTGGAATATTTAGTCTAGCCTTTTTTAAATATAAAATTAACACACATCTTCATTAGTCTTCACCTTAATATTGCCTCTCTTGCATACTTTCTCCGCTACTAAGAACCCATGGCAATCATTTGGGGCTATAAATTCTGACCTTCCATTAGCTTTTATGTCAAGAGAGCTTATAGAAATTTTTTCTTTATGAGGACATTATTAAAATTTAAGAGATGTTTTGAAATTTCTCTTAAAGGCCTTTGCTTTCTATATTCCCTTTGTTCAAGTTCATACACTAATATTTTTTTCCCTTTGCTTTTTTTCATTTTGTTGATGAAGGATTTTAAACAAGTTTAATAACTTACACATTTTTTAAGTGGGCCCAATGTAAAGCATGGTGTTTCCTGTAATTAGATAGTTCAGTCAGTAAGTATTGACTTTTTTTTTTTTTTGAGATAGAGTTTCACTCTGTTGCTAGAGTGCCGTGGCATCAGACTAGCTCACATCAACCTCACAGTCCTGGGCTTAAGCAATTGCTTGCTTCAGCTTCCCTAGTAGCTGGGACTATAAGTCCATGCCACCAGGCCTGGCTAATTTTTTCTATTTTTAGTAGAGATGGGGTCTCGCTCTTGCTCAGGCTGGTCTCGAACTCCTGATCTCAAGCGATCCTCCTGCTTCAGCCTCCCAGAGTGCTAGGATTACAGGCATGAGCCATTGTGCCTGGCCTGATATTAACTTTTAATATATTATCTGACTAGAATAACATACAAATGATATATGATCATTTAATCTCATTGGCATAGATTTGCTTCAAGCCTTGGTGCTTTTTTATTCTGATAGGCAACTGGTCAACTAAAGAAAGTGTCAAGGTTTTCTATAACATTCTGCCCCAAAGTAACTGTTTCTGTTTACCTAAGACTGATAAAAAATGGCTATTACCAACTGTCAAAAGGGTACATAGAAAGAGAATTCTCAGTCTTAGGTAAAAAGGGCTTAGTAACCTTAAATTTTCATAGGCCAGAGGTTGACAGACTTTCTTAAAGGGTCAAATAGTAAATATTTTTGGCTTTGTAGGCCACATGGTTTCTGTAGTAACCACTTAACTCTTTAACTACTCAACTCTGACACTATAGTACAAAATCAACCATGGAAATTATGTAAATGAATGGGCTTAACTGTGTTCAAATAAAACCTTATTTACAAAAACAGACTACAGGTCAGTTTGGCCCACAGATAATAGTTTGTTGACCCCTATCACTGACCAAAGTGATACCTACATGAAACTTGAAAGATGATTATACTTTCTAGTTGATAATACAGATTTTAGAGCCTTAATTTAATATTTTCCCCAGGAGCTTTCAAAGTTTTTTACATGTTTTTTCTTTAAAATGTAACAAGACCAATGGCTAACTCTTTCTGAGCTCTTAACTCTGTACCAGACATTTTAATCTCTTTTTGAATATTTCCTCATTTATCTTCAGAAAATCCTAAGAAGTAGATGGTTTTTTCCATTTTATAGATATTTCTTAAACATTTATTTGCTGGGGAAGATGAAATTGAAATGGAAAATGTTCCTTTCCCAAGGAGTCTACAGAAAGTAGTTAGTGTAGTATTCATATCACAGTAATGTCAAGCAGAATGTTGGAACCTTGAAGAGTTTAAAGTGTCTTGGTAGATCAAAGGAAGGAGAGATTATATTCCTTTTGGAAGAGCTGAAGAAATATTTTATAGAAATAATATGACAACTAAATTTAACAATTACAAGACTTTTAGATGATTTAGTTATATGTTATATATTTAGGCAATTAAATTAATCCTTTAAATTTAAGAAGAAATCTGCCTTTACAGTGAAGACAAATTCTGAACCAGATTTCTACTAGCATTAGCTCCTACCTAGTGCATCTTACATAACCAAGCATCACTCCATTTATGTTTATTTAAGCTTTGGCATGAGGTCGACCTTAATAACCATTCTCTATCTAACAGTGTAGTAAGTATTAAGAGTATATAGTACACACTGTCCACATCAGTGGTTTTGTGCTTTGTTAAAGTTTAGCATTTTGTCATAGTTATCCCTGGATATTATGCCATGGTTTTTCATTATTTTTCCTGTTTTTGAAATGATCCAAAAAGTGATAGACACTTGGTGCATAGGCTAAGGTATTAAGTATACTTTCATAGTAAATGTTAATGACAAAGGCTATGCTGAATTATTGTGTATTATTTTATAATTAATTAACAACTTTATTTGTAAGGTAGTATTAACAATCCACAAATACAATTGTGCCTAGATATTTCTTTTTGGAATGAGAAAGCACTGTACTGAAATGTTGTTTATAGTCTTTTCAAATTAACTATTAGATAGTCCATTATGAAAAATTTTAAATTTTTTTTTTTTACTGAACTGCTACATTAAAAAAGTAATCACTGAACAATTTCTT